GGTTAAACTTCATGAGGTTGGCATCAGCCCACCTCACAGGCGTGTCAAGGTCCCTCTGGATGGCATTCCTTCCCTCCAGCGCATCAACTGAACCACACAGCTTGGTGTCATTGGCAAACTTGCTGAGGGCGCACTCGATCCCACTGTCCATGTCAGCAACAAAGATGTTAAACAAGACCTTTCCCAACACTGATCCCTGACGGACACCACTCATTACTGGTCTCCAGCCGGACATTGAGCCATTGACCACAACTCTTTGCGTGCGGCCATCCAGCCAGTTCTTTATCCACCGAGTGGTCCATCCATCAAATTGATGTCTCTCCAATTTAGAGACAAGGATGTTGTGTGGGACAGTGTCGAACGCTTTACACAAGTCCAGGTAGATGACATCAACTGCTCTACCCCTGTCCATCAGTTCCGTAGCTCCATCATAGAAGGCCACCAAATTGGTCAGGCAGGATTTCCCCTTAGTGAAGCCATGCTGGCTGTCACCAAGCACCTTGTTGTTTTTCATGTGCCTTAGCATGCCTTCCAGGAGAATCTGCTCCAAGATTTTGCCAGGCACAGAGGTGAGACTGACTGGTCTGTAATTCTCCGGGTCATCCATTTTCCCCTTCTTGAAAATGGGGGTTATATTTCCCTTTTTCCAGTCATCAGGAACTTCACCTGAGTGCCATGATTTTTCAATTATGATGGCCAGTGGCTTAGCAACCTCATTTGCCAGCTCCTTCAGGACCCACGAATGGATTTCATCAGGTCCCAGGGACTTGTGCACGTTCAGATTTTTAAGATGGTCTCGAACCAGTTCCTCTCCTACAGTGGCCCAAGGTCTTCATTCTCACAGTCCCTGCATCTGCCTTCCAAGACTTGGGTGGTGTGGTCAGAGCATTTGCCAGTGAAGACCGAGGCAAAGAAGTCATTCAGAACCTCAGCCTTCTCCAAATCCAGGGTAGCCAGTTCTCCTGAGAGCTTCCTGAGGGGGCTTACCTTCTCCCTAGTCTGTTTTTTATTTGCTATGTACCTGTAGAATCCCTTCCTGTTATCCTTAATACCCCTAGCCAAGTTTAATTCTAACTGGGTCTTAGCTTTCCTGACCTGGTCCCTAGCTTCCTGGACAACATCCCTGTACTCTTCCCACACCGCCTGTCCTTGCTTCCACTTATTATAAGCCTCTTTTTTCCCTCTAAGCTTCCTCAGGAGCTCCTTATCCATCCAGGGAGGTCTCCTGGCCCTCCTGCTGCACTTCCTTCTGGTTGGGATGCAGCACTCCTGAGCTTGTAGCGGGTGATCCTCAAATATCAACCAACAGTCTTGGCCCCCCCTGCCCTCTAGGGCTGTATCCCATGGAACCTTACTAAGCAGGTTCCTGAAGAGGCCAAAGTCTGCTCTCCTGAAGTCCAGGGCAGTGAGCTGGCTGCACGCTCTTCTCACTGTCCTGAGGATCTCAAATTCGAGCGTCTCGTGATCGCTGCATCCAAGGCTGCCCTGGAGCATCACATTTCCAACAAGCCTTTCCCTGTTGGTGAGCATGAGCTCAAGCATGGCACCTCTCCTTGTCGGCTCCTCTATTACTTGCAGAAGGCAGTTGTCTTCCACACAATGGAGGAACCTCCTGGATTGCTTGTGCTGGGCCGTACCGTCCTTCCAACTGATGTCAGGGTGGTTGAAGTCCCCCATGAGAACAAGGGCCTGCGAGCGTGAGGCTTTTCGTATCTGTCTGTAGAGTACTTCATCCGCAGGTTCTCCTTGATCAGGCGGTCTGTAACAGATCCCCACAGTAATGTCTCCCATCGCTGTTCTCCCTTTAACCCTGACCCACAAACTCTCTGTGGACTGCTCACCTGTCCCCAGACAGAGTTCCATACTCTCCAGCCTATCCCTAACATAAAGGGCAACTCCCCCTCCCCGCCTGCCTGTCCTGTCTTTCCTAAAGAGCCTGTAACCTTCCATTCCAACACTCCAGTCATGGGAGCCATCCCACCATGTTTCTGTGATGCCTATTATATCATACCCCCGTAGATGTGCACACATCTCTAATTCCTCTTGTTTGCTCCCCATGCTATGGGTGTTTGTATAGAGGCATCTGTGCCGAGCTCCAACTGAAGCCGGCTCATTGGCTGGAGCAGCTGGGATATCTCCAAATTGCTCCAAGCATTTATTATAGGTGCTGGCAACTGACCATTTTCTGAACAGGATTTCTCAATACTGAAGCCAGTTTCCACATTTCAAATAGGATACTTTTATAAGGAATTGTTGTTACTTTTAAAGTAGTTGGATAGAATTTTCCTCACACTTTCACCAAATGACAGCATGCATCCAGTGATTTATGGGGATTAAAGTGCCAGGGTTTGGGTGATGAGAGTGAAGGCCTGATGGTGAAAGGAAGCGGGATTAAAAATCAAATATGGATTTGCTCTATTCTTTTTATCATACTCCCAAAGAACTGCTGCTTTCGAGGCTCAGTTTAAGGGAACCACTCTATTAAGGACAGTAGTTACCATGTCTTCAGTTTTGGTGTTACCAGGACTCGTGTAAATCTGAAGCTAACTGTGCATAAAGGTAACTTACTGCCTTAAAGAACAGAGTCAGAAACTCCAAAACAACAGCCTTTTTTTTTTTTTTTGAGGAATACATTCTGAATTTCAAAGAAGCCATTCAGAAAGCGAAAACATCATGCTGGGAAGCCTTTAAAGGGACTTAACAGCAGTTTACAAAGGTTTAACTACATAAACGGATGTTCTTTTTCTTGTCCCTCTGCCCATCTGGCTTAGTTTGCCCAAACATCCGGTTTTGATTGTTTGTGATCAGGCTGGCCCATTTTTTATCTTTAGTCCCTGGCTAAATAAACTGGGAACATTCAGAAGAGAAGTTCCTGACCACAGGCAAGAAAAGGGTTTAATTTCTTTTGAATCTGTTCTAATACAAAATTGTGATGTAACACCTCAAAATTCTGAGAAATGAAATGTTCTGCTAAGCGTCTGAGCTGGATCTTTGTTGGATAGAACCATTGTTCACACTGCTTTATTTGCATTGCTTTAGAAGGCCCCCCCTGAGTAAAAAGGCCTTTTGCAGTCATTCTTTCCTTTCTGACATGCTTTCTGAGGAGTGAAATGAAAGCAAATATTTCCTGACCACAGACTTGATAAAGACACTGGAGATTCTTTCCTAGGAGTCCCACTGATGGCTCTTAACAGGTTCTATTTATGCATCACTGTGCCCTGATCATTTTCTTCTCTGATGGATAGAAAGAGTGACTGGTTTTCCTCCTGAAATGATTTTTTTTTTTCCTAGGAAAGCTCCTCAAATGTTAGTTTCCTAATACTGTTTCTTTGGAAGCAGGGATTTTAAATGGCGGACATAAACCAGCAACCTCCCCACACGCAGGTATTCCTGTTTAACTTTCTGTGCGGTAGACTAGGCCATGGCCTGGAAATGGCAGTGAGTTGGTCAACCAGTGTAAATGACCAGACCTGCACTGGTCCCATTCAGATGCCCTGAGAACTTTGTGTGCACACACATTTCTGGCTGTGTCCGGTGAGATCATCATATATAATCTGTCGAACAGCAGAGAGCCATGAGGAAATATTTCATAAGGAAGATTTTGAAATACATTTTTGCAAACCATACTCCTACATGAGATGAAGTGACCCTCATTTGGAGTAAGAGGCATGCAAGAAAGATTCTCCCACTTGTTCTCCCTGTGTTTCTGTTTCGCAGCTTTCTAGTGGGCTGTTCATTGCGATGATTGTGAGTCTGCTCTTCCTTGTGTTATTGAGGTTCACAACTGGGGTTCTTTTCTGGATTTTCATCTTTAGCATGATTGGAATTATAGGTTATGGTAGGTGTCATCCTCCAGCCTCTGAGGTTGTTTTCTCTTACTGCTTTATTTTGGGCAAGGAAAGTAAGTGATTACATCAGTTAAATGCTGTAGTTGGCAGAACTAGTGCCTAGGTTTAGACACAGTTAAATGAGAAGGGCTTAAATGGCAGCGAAATTTAGTAAGAATCCAGCTGCACTGATACTTCTTACCAGATATAGCAACCTGAACTAGCTACCCACAGTGTGGTTAGTCCACATTCACTTGTACTGATCTTTCTTTTCTGTAGATGTGATGTTATAGCTGACTAGTCTCACAGTAGTGCATGTTTGGGTTTTGCTTACCTGACGTGCTGAGGACAAAACACTTCACTTGTCAAAGATTTAAACAAGCCCAACCCTGTCTTCGCACTCTTCAAAAAACACTCATTTTATATTGATTGTTTTTTAACAGGCATCTGGCTTTGTTAGTAGGAGTATGACCATCTTAAAGGAATACCCAGCTCTGACCTCACTGTTTCTGACACTGGATTCCAGACAGACTTCAGAGTGTACCTGCAGCTGGGGCAAACATGGTTAGCATTTAGTAAGTGCCCATTAAACTTGGTATCTGTTAATGGATGTTCAGGAGATTCAGTCGCTGTCTTGCTACAGTTCTGCCTTCTTAAATCTCCTCCTCTACATATGGTGCTCATAGAATTAGCAGAATTCTCTTTCTTTGTATAGTACAAAAATCTACTTTTTCTGCAAGGCTACTAGTGTATGTGTAAGGAGCCATAATGCAGTCGCACTAGTGATGAGAGTGAAAAATGCTTGTGTTACTAGCATTCTACTTCCTGTGTGTTCAGTCTTCACAATGGGGAAGTAGAAGGTAATAACTAGGACCTGATGAAGATAAGGAGGGGCATTTTTCTCTTTCAGTCTGTTTGTGCCTTGAGGGCCCCAGAAATGAGATTAATAATTCTGCATCAGACCTGTTTACATTCAGGTCACGGAATTTTCTTGGAGGCTGACCTGAGGCTGTGGAATGAACCATCACAAATGTCATCACTTGTGGTTTTCACAAGTGCTTCACGGCTTTCTCTTAGAAGGGCAGTGTATTTAAAACAATCTTACTGGAACAAGACAGCCTGCAGCATACGCATCCCTCCCAAGGGAAGGAGGGGCACAAGAGAGAACAAATACTACTTGCACTGCTGTTACTGCTCTATTAGCAGGCACACAGACACGACCTGACAATGAATGGCACATAACCTGAAACACTCCCTCTACCTATTGGTAGCTAAATTAATAGAGCAGTAGTTTACTGCTTAAATCTCCTTTCTCTGCTTTGTGTCTTCATGTAACTGTGTTGGATCATTGAGCTCACGAGCATCTTTATGAATTGTTGAGGCAGAGCTTTTTAGCATGCTGGCCCTAGAGAATATTAGGATTTTATGATGTCTTTCCTTCTAACTCCCCTGCCTGATTCTTAGCAGCCAATGTATAGTTCATCCAGAGGTCAGCGTCACTTTCAGATGAGTAAATTGAGATACTCAGGAATTAAATTACTTTTCCAAAGTCACCCAGCAAATCAGTTAAATATCCTTGAAGGAAACACAGGTCCTCTTACTCCTAGTGTAGTACTCATCACTGACTGACATTGCTTTCCTTTTTCACAATGCTTGAGACAAGCTACATTAACTTGACAGAGCTGAACTGGATTGAGACCAACTTCAAAGGAACCTGCCTATGTATTCCTTCATGGAAAACCATATAAAAAACAGGTGCTGAAATGTGTGTAACAAAAACTTTTTTCTGAAGAAAGTCTGTGGGTCTGAGCACCACAGGGGTCACTTGCCATGTGCAGCTCTGATGGCTAGGGGCACTGAGAGTACTTGGGGTCACAACTGAACATCATCTCTGACTAGCTGGATCCAGGTTCTGAGACTGTGTCAAAGCTGTGGGACCTGAAGCCAATTCCCCTGTCCCTGTGCAAACCTCCAGACATGCCATGGCTGAGGAATACTGTCCCTTTGTCTTCCTCGCCTTCCACAAAACTTCTTGGTTTCAGCTGGAGGAGACAGGTCCTGCTGTGTGTAACCATCCACCACTGCTGGGCTGGTTTAGATGTTGTCTAACCCTCTGAGGCTCCCGGAATTAATGGATGTGTCTCAAGGTCAGAGGAGGTGTGCTTCAGGCATTTAAGACTCTGCCTTCTGGAGGTGGAGTCCAGAGAATTCTTTTACTTCCTATTGCAGCAGTAGGATTTGAACTGACACAAATAGAAATCAGACAGAAGCAGACTCTTTAAACAAGATCTGGGTTATGAATCAAACACTGCTCACAACTAAGAGAGGAAATGTTCTGGGACACGGTGCTCTCAGCTCTCTAACCTTAGAGCAAGTTTGTGTGATTCCAGCAGCACAAATGGAAGGTCAAAATCATTTGTCCAAAACTGTACTGTCTTAGCCTCTTTGGTTTTTTTTTGACTTAAATGAGGGGAAAGGAGCTCACTCCAAGCTAATGCTGAGACAAGCCTGTTGATTTAAGTACATCTAAATGTTAGAGGAGTATGTATGAGAAGACTGCACTCTTCAGGAAAAAGTTGACTCTTCATCTCCTTTTTATTTACTGTATCTAAATGCTACAGAGGAGCAGCATGAGAGTAGAAACGTGCAAAATTCTTGTTATAAAAAGCAGCATTTGTTAAGGGTGAACTGTCAGGGTCCTGCCCATTCTGACAAACTCTGGCCATGCAGAATGTGCCCCCACAAAGCTATGAAATGGGATTGAAGATTGGCAGCTGCAGTGAGAGAAGGAAAGAGCTGCTCCAGCAGATAATTCTGTCAAGTTCATGAACAATAGTGCAAAGCACAAGGTGGGGAGAGGGGGGAATTACAGAGGCAGCCTATTGGTTCTGTTCTTGATAAACCTAACTTTGGTTTGTTTCCAGTGATAATACTTTGTGGTGCTGAGGTCATAATCATACTGATGCTGATCTTCCTAAAGAATCAGATCTGGACTGCCATTGCATTCTTGCAGGAAGGCAGTAGGTACGTTTGCCTGAGTTTTGGGAATATATTTTGAATTTTATTAAACAATCTCTGGACTATACTTTTCTTGAGCTTCATCTTGCACTACCAAGGGCAGGAAGTTGGATTGAAGTACAACACTGGATTTGTTGAGCCATACAGATAGTATAAAGAACGTCACTTCTCTGTCACTGAGATTGTGCTTATAAGAGCTTTCTCTTTTGCAGTGAGAAGACATTTCTTATCTCCCAGCTCCCTGCATTAAGAGTACATATGCTGTTAGTGGCACCATGTATCCTCTGTGCAAGGAGGTGTGTGCCAAGTATGGGGCACTGTTAATAGGAGCCTAAGACCCACAGCTGCCAGCTTTGCTCTGTCATTGGATTGTCTTCAGAGAGATTTATGCTAGTGGTAGAGGAGGGGTGTTGTTTTGGCTGGGGCTTTTAATTTACGAAAGACTGGATCCTTATGGCTCCAAACAACCTTTTGTCTGGACATGCATAAATCTGCAGAGAGAAAAGGAGAATTCCATGACAAGACATTGTAATGTGGTGTGGTCCAAGGCTCTTCTTTTCAGCTCTGAGTACAGAGAAAAGCAGAGCAGCATGTGAGAGTTGAGGGACTGGGAGGACTCTTCATTTTGTGTTTTCTGAAATCTCGATAGGCTTTATTCACAGTGGTTCCTGGTTTATCCAGTGTCAACTCTTAGTTCTGGTTTGAGTTTGGTTTGGGTTTGTTTTAATGGGAATATAACAAAGGAGAAATGGATTTAACACACCCTTGGATTTCTTTGCAAAAAGGCTAAGGTCTCATAGGCCTCAGAAGTAGGGCTCTGTTAGAACACATGGAGTTAGCTCTGAGTTTATTTGTGTGCACTTGCTTGTAGTTTTTTGCCCTCTCTGTTGACGTTATGGTTCTCAGGAGTCAGGGTTTAGGATTTTTGTAATGGAATTAGGAAATACTGAAGTTCTGCATTCAGCCAGGTACCTGTTCCCTGTCTTATGCTAGTGTGCAGTTAAAGCATAGCAATTAATTTTGGCAGCACTGAATTATCCTCTTTAGTTCCTGTTCATGACAATCCAGGAACACTTTTAATGCTCTGCAGCACTTTTGTTCACAACCTTGACAGGTAGCAGGATTTCAGAAAGTTCATAAACTTCCTGCTGGGAAGTGATAGCATTCAGCAGCAGTTTTTCAGCAGCATGGAAAGGTCACTTGCGGGTGATGGTTTTATTCTCATTCATAACGCATGAGGTGAAGCTCCTTGTGCAGTTACTGTAAACCTAACAGCCCATGCCCTGTATTTGGGAAGATGCAAAACAAGCTGCTAACAACTGGAAATCAAATTCCATTTTTCAATACCTTTAACTACTCTTTCAAACATATTACAATTGTCTTGAAATCCATAGGTGCAAACAGTTAGCAGTCGTTACTCCGTCCCTGGTGTCAGTGGTAACCAAGAGGCCTCCCATGAGCTGCTGAACGCTGCTAGTATGTAGTGACTGTTTCTGCTGTGTGCCTCTTACTGGACTTCTACATCTCTAGACTCAGGCAGAAATCGATGTGTTGCCCTTCACCTCCTGATTGCACACAACAGTCCCCTTGTGCTGTCCCCAGCATTTACTAGTTTATCAGCAGGAACTGGGTAAATTTGTCTGCTTTTACATGTTGGAAACTGCCTCCTGTCAAACACATAGCATCAGAAATGCCACAAGTCAGTCCTGTAGGAAATGCTAAGAGGCAAAAAGGCTTGTGATAAGCTTACAGGGTCACTGGAAAGAAAATTTAAAGTAACAGAAGAGGTAGGTGGCCAGAATGTGAAGAGAACCAACCTGTACGCTTCAGTGAACAAATCCCTGCTCTCTGAAATTCTATCCCATGAGATAACCCAGCTGGAGGCACTCACCTCTGAGGCTGCTGTGGCCAGTTTACCCAGCAGGGCTGTATCCACTCGCTTGCAGAGAGGAGTCCCTGGAGGAGCAGGAGCCAACATGCTCAAGTTCCTTCCAACAGTGGAAGGTCATTCGTCTTTCTGCCTGCCAACAGCCAAAGGCAAACACCATTCATTAGGGCACATGCAAGGAAAGTCAAATAGTCACAGGAAGGTATTAGCACATCCTGGCATTACAAAGACAAACTGAATGTTATGCCCCAAAATAGTACCTAAGGCAGGCAAGGGGCTGGGAACAGAGTCCTCAAATGCAAGGTAGCAAGAGGTAATTTCAGGTGTGTAGGAACTGAGGGAAGAGCATATGAACTGAGCAGGGTGGGACAAGGAAATAAAGGGTAATGTCTGCAGCAAGATGTGATTGAAATGGGTTTGTGGCCTGGAAAGAGCTGGATCTGTGAAGCAGTAATGGAGAAGGAGGAAGTAGAAGACAGGCTGGAACATGGCAAATTGTTAATGTTGATTGTAGTGCTGCTGATAAAAGTGGAGTGGTAGAAATGACAAACTGAAGATGTAAAGATACCTGAAGAAAGAACCTGCAGTATTCTGAGATCCCAGCTCTAGATTATGCTTCCGCTATCAATGAGTAGTTCAAAGTAAAAGGGATGATGCTAGAAGAGGACTGATAAAAACCTTGTTTCTTAAATTGCTGCAGGTTACTGACATGTTTTGTTTCTTTCACAGGGCTGCTGGCTATATAATGTCTACGTTGTTCTACCCAATCATCACCTTCATACACATTGAAGTTTGTATTTCCTACAGGGCTGTGACAGCTGTGTATCCTTCTGTCTGTGTACCTCTCTGGAGGAACAGTCTACAAGACCAGATAATTCTCTGTTTCACCTTAGCCAAACCAGCATGAAAAGGGCTATTTGGTCACTTGGCACTTGCTGCACCAGTGCACTCTTCCTCACTGGGCTTTTGAGTGTGATGTACCAACTGGACAGTGAATTAAATTTCATTAGAAAGAACTGGACTAAAATCCATGCCAAGGCAGAGGATCGTACAAGGTCTTTTATACTACATAAGGTTGGCTTCAAGGGGTGAAAAAGAAACCTTAGCAAAGAGTGAATATGCCTTTTCTTGGCTGTATGCTCTATAGACCATGAGGTTAATGGTCGCTTAGCTTGGGTGGGCTCCACATGTGTTTTGTACAGAATAATGTAGGAAAAGAATGAGAGAACATAGAGTGCTCCAAGTGCTCTAAATTGCCTGACAGCAGCCAGTGTCTGTTCCTGGAAAAGCAAGGCTTTGGTAAGGTGTCAGAAAGGGGACCGTTGCTTTTTGCAAACAAATTGTTCTTTCTCATGCAAAGAGGGTCAGTTATTGCTGTATAGGACAGTGTTGATGTATCCTTATGCTCTGGGTCTACTTCCGCCAACATTCAAACTGAAAGAACTACTACTGCATAATGTGCCTTGTCAGAGGTGGATGTGCAGGAGAGGCTGAGTCAGTCTTCGTGGTTATTCCCCTTGCCCATTCTGGCTATGGCATACAGCTCTGGGATGAAGTCTGCCTTAGTTCTGTAAGTAGCGAAAGTATTCAGTCTTGTCTGTGACCCTTCATACACATCTCTGCATAGCAAGATCAGTTTTTCTGTTACCAGCACAAGTGTTTTAGAGCTCATGGTTACCCACTGCAGACTCCTGCATTGCTCAAAGCCCACAGCTCTGTGATTCCTCCTTAAAATACCTCATTCAGTTTTCTGGCTACATCAGGAGAACCTGAGTATAAAGCAATGGCTAATCAAACACCGCACGAGTATGCAAACCTGACTTGTGACCCAGAGGTAGGTGTTACAAATACTTCCCTGCTATGAGAGCTATACTAATTGTATTTCTTAATCACTATTAAATGCAATGTGAGAAAATGTGCATATCTTAAGTAGTGATTCCTTGTGTTAAACCTGAAAATGGTGCTTCATGTTCAGCTAAGACTCCTTTCTTCAAAGCAATTTAGAGCTATGAAGCAGTTTTTTTGCTGCAGTGTCCTGTGAGCAGGTGAGTTGAGTATCAACCAGTCTCATTTACTGGGTGAGAAAGGAAGATGCAGAAACACAGGTTTATTTGGAAAAGTGTTCTCGAATTCATGAGAATTTCTATCATTGTGGTTCTCAAAAGACAGTGGAAGAATTTGAAAGCTCTGCCTCAAACTTGCCCAAAGACCAGCCAGGTTTCAAAGCAGAGGCTTAGCTGCTTTTGCACAGTGATGACCTCTATGGAGCTCCAAAAATACGTGTCTTTTGACTTGAGTGTGGGGTTGAAGTGTTTTTTGAAAACTAGAAATATTTATCAAATGTTATATCAGGGTTATTTTCAGGTGTTTAAATGTCAATGTACTGCTGTGGTTAGGTACATCCCAGACAATTCCCCACCATCCTGATACCTGAACACTAAAAAAGAAAGGGATTAGAAATTGACTGGTTTTATTTAACACCCAAACTGAGCAAATACATGAATTGAACAACAGAAATAGGGAAGAGTAATTTGGTTTAGAGACTGCTCCTGTTTTAATACTGTGAGATAGGTAAGGGAAGCTGTGACACTGCCACAGCTTGTACGGAATGGCACAGCTCAGTTGATTTCAGTTCAATTGTGGTGATATACACAAGCCTTTGGTTTTCAAATGTTCTTATTTCCTTACTATTGCCTTTTATGTGAGCAGCTTTTCTTTAATGAAACTGAAGCATTTGTGTAACTTAAAAGTATATTTCTGACATTCCAATTCCGTATCTCTAGGTTTCAGGCATGTGGTAAACAGCCCTGTTTGCCAACTGTATAGTTTAAAGTTAAACACCTGTGTAAGACACTACTATGAGTCCTTATATATGTAAACAGGTTGCACAGTACTGGAGTGCAGTGTTGACCGATCTAATGAAACATCAAGCGGAATGACGTGATTTGTATTAAGCTGCTAAATTTCAGAGCCTGTGAACACAGAATTCAGTGCTTATCACTGTGGTATTGATTTTTCTTCCTGTACAGACTTTTAACACAACCAAGATTACTAAATTGCATCCAGGTGCTCAGCGTACTTTTGCTTTTTATGGAGGAGAAAGCCTGTACCATAAGTACATCTTCATCTTGCAGTTAGCCTATGCCTTTGTCTTTCTCTGACTGCTGAACTTTGCAATTGGAATGGGTCAGTAGACCCTTGATGGTGCCTTTGCCTCCTGTTACTGGGTCTCTCGAAAACCAGCCAATATACCACTATGGCCACTCTTCACTGGGATGAGCAACATGGTGAGACTGTGGGGCTGGATGTGAGCCCTGTCACATACCCAGCAAGTGCACATTTTACATGTAGGGAAGCTATTCTCCAGATGCCACAGCCCCCCCACACACACACATATGCACACGCATGGTCTCAGGTGTCATGGGCCCAACTGGGCTGAAAAGCATTTATTAATATAATAAATAAGTATATGATTTATAATGGTAATATAGATATATTATATAAGCATTTCTATTATTATAATAGATAATTTTAATTATGTATATTTATATATAATTGTATATATTATATAATTATATAACCTTGCTTACATGTTCATGTAAAACTTTGAGCCTTGAGACTTTTGTTTGCATTTCATGATTATTTTTTATGAGGGCACATTTTATTAGGGAACCAACCCCAACCAGTCTGTGATTCTGTGATTTTGTTCAATACATTTAGCACTGGATGTAATTCTTAAATGATGGGCAAAATGAACCATAGGTTCCTTCAAGTGCCATATATGTTAGTAACAGTAAGACTGGAAAAGTAAATTGCGTTTTCTTTGCCAGTGTCAGGAAATGTGACCAAATTCAGGCTTCTCTTCATCCTGCAACAACCAGTGCATCATCAGGACCTGAATATGCATCTTGTTCCAGTACTAACTAGTGCAGTTAGTTAGTAACTAACGCTTATGTCATAAAAGATCCATAAATGCCTCAAACGGTGGCAGGTGTGGGCATATATGTAAGAGCACCAAGTTTTTACAGTGATGCCTGTAACTGTATTCTCTCTGGCTTTTTAATTGTACTGAAAACTAACTTAGATCCATTCTGGCCTAGTTTTAGTTGTCAGTGAAGTCACTCTTTCTAGTTGTCTTCATATTTTCTCAATAGCCTTTGATCTGTAAGGATCAGTATCAGCAGCTGTGGCTATCAGCTGCTATGTTTCTAGTGACTTTGCTGCTGCAGACTCTAACCGGGAAAATACTGAAAACCTCATGATAACCTTAATGATATGATATGGCTTTTTCTTCAGATGGTGCCATATCTTGAATGCAGACATCTGCTGCCAGTGAATACACCCACTTGCACTGGATGTGAGTCACCAATAGCTCCACAGCTGCAGCCCCAAACCAACATCTGCATAAAGGTAATTGAAAATAAATCTAACAAAATAGCAATTTACCTCCTGGCATGCATATTTCTAACGGAGGACTTCATTAAAAATAGTTTGATCCAGCTTGGGTTTCTCTAATTACATTGTGACAGCTTTAAGGGTTAGTAGGATTCAAACCACCTTGACTAGAAATAAGAATTAAAGGTAAACCATGGAAGCTCAGGAAGGCATCTTGAAGAACACAGGAGGTAGCAGTGTGAAAGACAGGACACATGCACTTGTGTTCAGTAGGGACATATTCTGTGATTCTATCATTTATGGCCTTAGTATTACTGGGCATTTTAAGTTTATTAAATACATCTTCATTACTCTGCTTCCCTCAGTTGATTGTAAGTGCTTAGCACAGATGGGCTGGTAGGACTGGAGCAGTGGGGAAATGCCCAAAATGCTCAAGCACAGCATTAGTCAGTGATCCAAAAGTGCTGGTGGGCCTAACTGGACAAAATCTACCCTCCAGAATACTCCCTACCCAAGGGTGTGGGGACTCAGGTAGGGGCCATCCTCAACCCTTCCAGTCACGGAAAAGGGTGTGAGAAGGAGCAAGCTGATACTGCATGTCCACAATTGGTAGATTATAGACACTGCCCCAAATTGTGTGTTTTATGGCAGTCCTGATGCAGATGCAAAGGCAGTCCTGAACTATTTGGTGGCAACCGAATTGTTCTCAGCTCTGGTTGAATCTCGCTTGTGAGATACTGTGACTGTGCTTGGACACCCTCAGGGGGATAAGAATCATTTTCCTTGCAGACACTGGACTTGCTGTTTTGTGTGAGTGCAGTGATTAAGCAAACTGACACTAGTCTATACAAACATCTGGAGGTATTGATGCTGGATCTCATGAAGGAACTGTACTATAGTTGAAAATGAATTGTCACCAAGATCCAGGGATTTGTGATGGGCACGCACTATGGCCTAACTAAAACCTGAAGCCCACAGCAAAGACTTGAAGGATCTCTTCTATCTGAAGGGCTGAATAACTACGGCATTTTCTAAGATCAAGTCATTATTAGTGTTGTTCATACTTTGCAGATACTATGTGAAATGTATTCTTTCTCTGTTTAAAAGGGCAAAGTAATTTGTCAGGCATGTGGCACAGAAAATCTTCACCATAAACAGCAGCAGCTTACTGTCATGGCTGTTTGTCTGGGGGAGCAGAGGCCAAACATTGTCCCACTTATGATACCCAACCTAACACCTATGGTTCCCTAAATGCCACCTGTGCTACCCAACCTAACACCTATGTTTCCCAATGTGCCACGTATGATACCCAAATTAACACCTATAGTATGCAAAGTGCCAGCTCTGATACCCAGCCTAACACCTATGGTTCCCTAAGTGCCACCTATGATACCCAGGCTAGCACATATTGTTCCCTAAGTACAACTTATAATACGCAACCTAACACCTATGGTTCCCAAAGTGCCTCCTATGATACCCAACCTAACACCTATAGTATGCAAAGTGCCACCTATGATACTTAACACCTGTAGTATGCAAAGTGCCACCTATGATACTCAACACCTGTAGTATGCAAAGTACCACCTATGATACCCAACCTAATACCTATGGTTCCCTGAGTACCACTTATGATACCTAACACCTCCGGTTCCCAAGGTAACACTGAAACTACCCAACCTAACACCTATGATATCCAATCTAACGCCAGCTCAAGTGCCACCAACACTACCTAACATGCCACCTACGCTACCAGGCCTGACTCCTACAATACCTGAAGTGCCACCTACACTACCCACCCTGACACTTACTCTACCCAACCTAACACCCATAGTATGCAAAGTGCCACCCACAGCATCCAACCTAACATCTACACTACCCAAAGTGCCACCAACTGCACCCTGCCTAACACCTATGATTTCCAATCTAACACCACCTCAAGTGCCACCTACTCCACTCAGCCTGACACCTACTATACCCAATATACCATCTATGATATCCAACCTAACACTTAACACCTATAGTACACAAAGTGCCACCTACAAGAATCAATCTAACACCTATGCTACCTCAAGTGCCACCTACACTATGCATCCTAGCACCTATTGTTCCCAAAGTGCCACCTATACTACCTGACCTAACACCAATAGCTCGCAAAGTGCCACCAGCAGTATCCAACCTGACACCTATAATACCCAGTGACATTGACACTACCCAACCTAACATCTTTATTATACAAGCTAACACCTACACTAGCCAAATTGCCACCTGCTCTTCCTCAATTGCCACGTAAACCACCCAGCCTGACACCTGCAATACCCAACTTGACAACTACGCCACTTGACACCTACACTTCCCAACTTGCCACTGCCTGCGCCCCTTAACTACTGCCTGTATCCCTCCCAATAGGACAACCTGCAAATACCCTACACTGTGTCCCCAGAGTGTGTCCTTACCTGCATGGGGCCACTCCTTGGGCCTGCGCTCCAACAATATCCTGTCTGTCTCTCCACCGTCCGCTGTTCATCCCTAAGCACCCAAGGTGACCGCCACCAACCAGTGCCAGGCAGTGCCCTCCTGCATGGGCCAATGCAGGTCTCCTCATCATCATCTGATGTATCCTCACCACTCATAACTTGTGCCATTTGGCACCTTGCTGGGTTGGCATTGCTAAATAAAACCCACACCCTTCCACTGCTGGCCACTCCTCCTCTTCATCCTCCTCTTCTTCTTCTTCCTCCTCCTCGTCTTCTTCTTCTTCCTCCTCAGAACACCTTGCTGCAAAAAGAAACCAGGGCACCTACTATACAGGATGATGCTGGCATTGGTGTTGCCCAGCTTGTTCGAGGCCACACACTGGTGTAGCTGCCATAGCCCTTCTCTGAGATAGGCGGCCCTTGCTCTCAATCTGCACACCCTTCAGCCCATGTGTAACCTGCAGGGATCAAAGACACATGATGATGCTTAGAGTGCAACATGCTGTGCTCCCTGCCGTTCCCACCAGGCAAGTCCCACACATTCCCACTCCCAACTCCCCACATCCCTCCAAGACAAGCCCTGACACACTCGCCATTCCCTAACCCATCTCCCCACATGACCTACGTGGTTCCCATCAACCCTGCCCGGCATTGCCATTGTCTCTGAGAGAAACAAAACACTTAGACCCAGCACAATGCGTTAACCAACTCTTTCTCCACACAAGGCCCTTGACCACCTTGGTTCTCAATCCGTGTCCTCGCTGAACCACTGAAACTCCGCCACGCGAATGGGGAGGAGAATTATAGAAGTGTAATACCCACAGGCTGAGATAAGAACACTGTAATAACTACTGCATAATCACAGAGCCATAGCACCAACCGGCTTGGAAAAGACCTTTAACATCAGCAAGTCCAACCACTCCCCAGTACACTCTGCTGACCCGCAAAGCAGGCTCCTAAATGTAAACATCCAGACCTTGCTCGTAAGCCTAAAGTGTTAGGACAGAAATCAGGAGCTGGGCATTTCCTACACAGGGTGCCCTACAGAAAAGTACCACCAATATGGATATCCTCACTTACTTACACACCTAAAGCTCTATCTCTGTAAAGCCTCACTGGACAGCACTCTCTGCTGACCCACAAACCAGCTCCCTAAATGTAAACATCCAAATCCTGCTCCTAAGCCTAATGTGTTAGGACATAAAGCTGGTGCTGGGCATCAGCTACACGTGGTGCTCTCCGCAACAGTGCCACCAACACAGCAATCCACCCTTGCTTAGCCATGTAAATCCCCTGACCTTGCAGGGCAGCACTCTCAGACACCCCATAAACCAGTTCCGTAAGTGTGAATGCCCAGACACTGTGCCTAAACCTAATGTGTTAGGACAAAAGCAAATAGCTGGTCAGGTTCTACACAGGGTGCCCTCCAGAATGGTGCCACCAAGGCATCCCAGCAGTCCTCCCTGGATTTCCCCAGTCTTGCTCTGGATGATCGCACACAGACAAGAGCAGAGGCAAGACTGAGGAAAAACAAACAAGAACTGACAACATTAGCCCAGCAAAAGCAGTATTAGAGTGCTCTAAGCCTATTTACTAATACAATCCAGCAGCATCAAAGCTCTTTGAAACATCAGGGAGTGCCAAAAAGATGCAACCACTTTGGAGAATGTGCTGGAACCCTGAAAAATGGCTTTCAACTTTTCTGTTTTCCCCTATTTTCCTTTGAACCCTTTGCTTACTGTCTGTGCAGGACTGGTGTCACCAGCACACTCTTTTTGCTGCAGCACAGAACAGCCAATGCCTGTGTAGCTGACTCAAACCTGAGGGCGAGAAGGACTATTTGGTGCTCACTGATGGTAGCTGCCTTCCAAGGAAAGGTAGAGAAGAGTTAAATAAAAATAGCAAACTGGAAAAGGCAGAGAAGTGGGAGAAAATTGCTGTTCTTCCTGGTTTAGAGATAGAGAAACTGAGGCACAGACCGCTGAAGTCTGTCCAGAGAAGCTCTAAGGGGAGAGGTGGAGAGCTTGAAAAAGATGCAGAGCAGGGCTTTAGAAAGACACAACCTGAATCTGCCTTCCATCTAAAGAGCTCACTTTGCCACCCAAAACTCCATCTGCACACCGCTTCTCTGGCTCCTGCTCTCAGGCTTCCTGGAGCACTGCGCACAGAGCGCGAGTGTCCGGCCCCTGCTCCCACAGCCGAGGAGCCAGAACAGAAAGCTGTCATTGGCCATCACCTACATAGGGTTGCTCATCATATTAGTGGCACCGTTCTGGATGCCTCCCTGTGTAGGTGATTCCCAGCACCAGCTTTCCTGAACTGTGGGAGCAGGGGCTGGACACCTGCACTGCATGTGCTGTGATTGAGGATACTTGAGAGCACTCAACACAAAGGCAGTAAAAAAAAGCAAAGATGGTAAAGCATGGCCAGACTGCTGTGTTGGTGGAACTGCTCATGAGATCCCCAGCTGGAGATGATGGGCAACAACCACCAGACATGCTGCTACCTTACCAAGCTACTGACATTTAAAACATGACTCCTGCTTCTACCTCCTTGTCACTGCTCTACTTTGGGTCTCCCAGCAGTAAACATTTCAGCTAACACACCAGAACAGAAGTGGTAAAACGCAACCTCAAAACTCTTCCAACCAAAAAAACATTCAGAACCCAATAACAAAAAAAAGCAAGAGAAGCCTGCAAGAGAAACGCTGTTGGGTTTGCAAAACCAAAAACCGCTCCAAGGAGCGCTCCCCAGAGCATGGACACTGGGCGGGGAGCAGCAGTTTCGCAGCCCGTTGCCTCTGCTGCACCGAAAAAGTGAGCGTGTGCTGCCACCATGTGTCCAAGCATCGGTACTGCAGGTGGTGGAGATGGGGAGGGCGGAGCTGCTCCGGGCGCCGCTCGCTGCTGCCATCATGTGTCGAAATCTCGGTACTGCTGGGTGGGGGGGCCGCGCTGTGGCCCCGGGCACCGCCCGCTGCTCCCATTCTCTGCCCAAAATTCAGCATTGGAGTGGGTGGTGATGGGGGAAAAGCGGCTGGGGGTCGGTTTCCGGTGCTACTCTGTGTCCAAAACGCAGCACTCCACGCGCGGAAGCAGAGATATGGACCAGGAGAGGCTAGGTGCTGCCATCATGAGGCCAATATCCGGTACTGCACGCGGTGTAGAAAGGCGGATTGAACCAATCAGAGCAGGGGGAGGGCCGGGCTACGAGTGGTTGACAGGCTCTCGACCAATGGCGGCAGCGGGGGACGGTGGCAAAACAGAGCGGAAGGAGGACAGGGCTGCGAGTGACTGACAGCCGTCTAGGCCAAAGACGGCCGCGGAGGGGCCGAGCTAAGACTGATTGACAGAAGCCTCTGCCAATGGCGGCCACTGGGTGCCTGAAAGCTGCTTCTGGTGCCACACTGCGGCTCCTTCCCCTGCAGTACCGAGTTTTGGCCACAGGACGGCAGCAGCTAGCGCTGCACCGAGCCACGCCTTTGCTCCCACTCCATCCCCACCACCTGCAGTACCGAGCGTTGGACACATGATGGCAGCAGCGAGCCGTGCCCTGCCCTGTTCACTTTTATCACTTTGTATTTGCTTTGCAGGCATTTATAATCACATTCTTCGCTTTTGCTTTTTATTGTCTTTTAGCATTTTTATTTATTTGCTTTTTCATTTTTTTTTTAGCTGCCCTTGCTTTTTAGTCTCTTTTAGCAGCTTTTTTTTTAGGCTTCCCATACCTAAAAATGAGATGGGAAATGGGCAAAAATGGGTTAGAAAAGGAAAAAAAATGGTTTAAAACACATTACAAATGGTCAAAAATTGAACAAAAATGGTCCAAAATGGATTAAAACAGGTAAGAAGTGGGTAAAAATGGGTTAGAAATGGGCAAAAATGGCTTAAAAAGGGTTAGAAGTGGGCAAATATGGGACAGAGATGGCCATAGATTGTTCAAAAATAGCCCCCAAGAAAACTTTAAATGGGTTAGAAATGGGAAAGATGGGTTAGAAATAGCCAAAAATGGCTTAAAACTGGTAAGAAATGGGCAAAAATGGGTTAGAAACAGAACAAAACAATGGCTTAAAATGGGTAAGAAATGGGCAAAAATGTGTTTGAAGTGGGAAAAAAATGGTTAGCAATGAAGAAAAATAGTTTAGAAATGGCCAAAATGGCTTAAAACAGGTTAGAATTGGACATAAAAGGGTTGCAAATGGCTAAGAATGGCACAAATCGGGTTAGAAGTGGCCAAAAATGGGTTAGAAATGGTCAAAAATGGCTTAAAACTGGTGACAAATGAGCAAAAATGGGTTAGAAAAGAAAAAAGTGGCTTAAACAGAGTTAGAAATGGGCCAAAATGAGGCGGAAATTGAAAAACAAAATGGCTTGGAACAGGTTAGAAGTGGCCAAAAATAGGTTAGAAGTGGCAAAAAGTTTTTAGAAATAGCAAATAAAAGCTTAAAATAATTTAGAAGTGGGCATAAATGCGTTAGAAATAGACAAAAAAGGGTTAAAATGGGTTAGAATTTGGCAAAAATGGGTTGAAAATGGCCAAAACCAGTTTAGAAATAAATAAATAAATAAATAAACCCCATACATTAAAATGGGCTAGAAATGGGGAAAATGTGTTAAAAAAAAAACAGCCAAAATGGCTTAAAATGGGTTAGAAATTACCAAAAATGGCTTAAAACAGGTTAGAAATGGTCAAAAATAGGTTAGAAGTGGCAAAAAATGGCATAAAATGGGTTAGAAGTGGCCAAAAATGGTTTAGAAATGGGAAAAAAAGGCTTAAAACGGGTTAGAAATAGCCAAAAAAATGGCTTAAACTGGTAAGAAATGGGCAAAAATGGGATAGAAATTGCCATAAATGGCTCCTTCCTTCCTCCCTCCTTCCTTTTTTCCTTCCCTTCCTCCTTCCCTCCTTCCTCCTTCCCCTCCTTCCCCCTTTCCCTCCCTCCTACCTTCATTCAGAATGAGAGTGAATACAAGAGCAGAGGTTCTGAGACAATCTAATGGAAGAGAATGTAAGAATACAATTGAATATGGAAAAGAGAATAGAAGGGAAGAGAATCTAAGAGATTACTAGAAAAGAGCATCTAGGGAAAAAGAATATCAGGGAACGTAAGAGATCTAACAGAATCTAAGATTGATTATAAGATTAGAGAATTGAAGAGCATCTAAGAAGAGAATATAGGGGGGGAGAATATCATTGGATAGAAGAGAATCTAAGATTAGAAGAGTAGAGAAGAGAATCTAAGAGAAGCCATGATAAAAAAATTGAAGAGCATACAGGAAAAGGGAAAAGAAATTTAGAGAATCTAAGGAAAGGAAATGGAAGAGACTATAAGAGTATACAAGCAAATAAAATAGAAGGGAATCTAAGAGAAGAATATGTAATCAAATATAGAAGAGAGACAGGAATAAGTGGAAACAGTGTAGTATAAGACAATAAGAGAAAATAAGAAAGTGTAAGACTATAAAAAAGGGAAGAGAATATAAAAGAGGGAAGAGACTCTAAGAGAGCATAAGAGAAGGGAAAAGAATATAAGAGAAAGGAATATATGAGAAGAGACTATAAGAGAATCTAAGATAAGGGAAGAGAACGTAAGAGAAGAGAATTTAAAAGAAAAGAGAAGGGAATATAAGAGAAGAGAATATTAGAGAACATAAGGGAAGGGAAGAGACTAGAAGAGACTAAGAGAATATAGGACAATAGAAGAGAGTAAAGAGAAGGGAATACAAGAAAATGCAAAAGGATAGAAGAGAAGGGAGTAGAAGAGAATAGAGATTAGAAAAGACTAAGAGAATATATGGAAAGAGAATATAAAAGAATCTAAGAAAACAGAACCAGAAGGGAAGGGAAGAGACTAAGAGAATATAGGAAAATAGAAAAGAGTACAAGAGACAGGAAGGGAAGAGACTATAAGGGAGTATTAGAGAAGACAAGACGAAAGAAACGTGCTCCTGATAACATCTTTATTTTTTTCAGGACAACTATTTAATTTCATTAAAAGCAGGAATCTTTAAAATTATATAGTCTTGTCTGTCATGGAGCTTCAAACCTTTGCAGCAGTCATCAAGCTGTGAGAGGCAGCTGCACAAAGGAAATCCTTTCTCTAAGACAAGCAGCTGAGCAGTGATCTGTTATAGCCACCCATCAATGTTAGCTGTGTAGCGACACTAATGCCGCCAACAGAGCAGATAAGCTCTGGCAGCAGCCACCGAACAGGAGGGGATGCTGCTGTGTGCACGGAACGCAGAGGCAAATTCCCAAAGCACTTGCTGGGTGTGCACTAAGTAGCAA